TCCCCGGCGCCTGCTGCCCGGCCGCTCCGGCCGGGCTCGCGGTCTGGGCTGGAGCCGGCGCCGGGAGAGAAGGTTCAAGTCCGCGCGAGGGAACTGCAACGCGCAGCTGAGCGGCGGGCGAGGGAGCGCGGCGCCAGTATGGTAAGGGGGGCGCGCAAAGGGCTGGGGCCGGGACCGGGACCGGGGCCGAACCGGGATCTGGGTTCTGACGGTGGGGCCGGCCGCCGAGGTGTCGCTTTACCCACGACCTTGGCCAAGCCGTAGCCCCTCGCTAGGCGAGGTTTCCGTCTGAGAAGTGGGCGGGGGTGGCAGAGTGCGGTGTGCGCCCAGGTGCCCCCAGCTTCCAGGCATTGAAAAAGCACCGAGGCGCGGAATCAGGGACCCACCGCGACGCCCCCCGGGTGGGATAAGTGGCAGGTTTCGCCGCTTTCCGCAGCCGGTGCAAACGCGCTTTTCTTGGAGTAGCGCCCGGGACCCCTGCGCCACTGCTTGGGTGGGGCAGCCGCCCTTGGCGCGGGCGTCCGCCCGCGGCCTCCGCCCCCCATTCCCCGCCGCCCTGGGCTGGCTCCCTGAGGGTGGGAATGTGACCTGGGCCTCAGCCCCCGACCCAGCCGACCCGGGCAGGCCCCTGAGTGTGACCTGGAAGAGACGCCCTCCGGGAGCTCTCGTACCTCCCACAGTCCTAGGCGCCCTTGCCTCTGCCATGGCCTTCCAGGGGCAATTCCTTGGGGATGCCAGCCTCTCCTGCGCCTCCACCTTCCGGGTGAAACCCCTCTCCCGCGTCCCCCCCCCCCATGGTAACCCCCTTCTTCCTCTAAGCCTCTGCCTTTGCTAGCAGCAGCTGCCCACCGGTGGGTAGGAGACGCACTCAGGTCTTGGCTCCCAGGTCTTGGCGGCCAGACCTTCGTCCCAGTCTGGCCACAGCCTTTGGTCAAAGTGAGGGCCGGCCAAACACAGAGCCCAGTCCGTTTCTCCCTCCCGGCACCTCCTTCCCCCAAGGACAGGTGGGGTTCTCCTCCAGGTTTAAACCCAGGAGCACAGTTCTGCCTGATTGTCCCAGGGCTTTGATGGAGGTACTCTCTCCCTGCTGGGGCAGGAGGCCATCCTGGTTATCAGCCTCCTTCTCGGCCCTCCTGGGCAGGGTTCCTCCACCGGCTGGCAGTATGTGGGTGTATATGTGCGAGACTGACTGAACGAAAGCCACCAGCCTGCTCCCGCCACCGCCTATAGAGCCAGCAGCTTCCGGGGCTCAGAGTCCTAATGCAGGCAGGAGGGAGACCAGGCTGAAGGGACTGGGTGGGATACGGACCAGGCTGAAGCGACTGGGATACAGACCAGTCTGGCTGCAGATGCCTTTGAGAGAAAGGGGAGGTGTCTGCACAGAATTCTTAGAAGCACTGTGTGCTCTTGAAGGCAGCTGTGACCCCTGACTGGAAGAGAGCCTTGCCCAGGGAGTTGGGATTGTGCATCAGTATAACTCACACCCTCTTTCTGGGCCTCAGTTTTGCTGTCTATAAAATGGAGTGAATGAATATTGTCCTGCCTGTACTCCAGAGACTGTTATGGGGATAAGATTAGATAATGGAGAGCTGAGAAAAACTGTAGCTTTCTGTACACACTGTGACTACGTAGTGATACTAGGAATCATTCCTGCAGGGATTAGACACTGGGCTCTGCCTCTTCACCTGTCACATGTCACAGTGAGTACAGGTCCCCTCCCTGGGCCCCCTTTACCCATAGTTCCTTCTTTGGGAGCTGGGACATTCCAGGCCCATTCCTCTAGGGCAGCTGCAGACACACCCCTCAGCAAAGCTGATTCCCCCTAGCAGATGGTGGGACCCTCCCCCTGGGAGGCAGGGTTCAAGAGGGACTAACAGCAGACTAGGCAGCTTCCTGCCACATGCTCTGGATGTCTGTCCCACAGGGTGAAAGGTGGAATAGGAGCTGGGGTACCTGTGCACTTAGTCCTGTGCATCTGAATGTGACCTTGGACACATTTCACTTCCTGAGCCTCAGTGTCCTGTTCTGATGTGGGGATGACATCATGTGTAAGGATGTGGTAGGCCCAGCATCAGGCTAACCTAACAAGGGCCCCATTAGTGGACGTTGGGATGCCTCCCTGTCTTTGCTTTGTGGACAGGGTAGCCCCCTACCCCCATCCAGTCTCTACCTTTCAGGTTGGTCCAAAAGACATAACCCTGTCCAGGATTTTTAGTGCTTCTGCCTAATCTCAGGTTAGGGGAGAGAGCAGGAGTAAAGGGGCCCATGTACAATATGGCTCCTTGGCCCAACCCAAACCTAGCCAGCTGGCTAAAGGGGGTTTCAGCGCTCTAGAACTCTGGGCAGAGAAGCCCAGGTATGTGGAGGAGATCTGACTTTTTGCTCTGATCATTCCAGTAGGCCTGCAAGGCACTTACTTTCCCCCTCCCTCACCAAATCCTCTCCTGTACAGCCTGCACAGCTGCCCTGGCCTGACCAGGCCAGTCCCTGGGCTTCCAAGCAACAGGAAGGTGGGGGCGGAGGGGGGGAGAGGTCAGTGGGATGATCCCCTTTAAGAGAAGGGACTGTCCCAGACTGATAGATAACTGGCTAGGATGGAGGCATCCTGCTCATGGAGGTAATCATACAGCCAGTTGGACAGTGGGTGGAGGGTGAAGGCCTTAGAGGAGGACAAGGCAAGGGACTGTTTGCCCCTTTCATCAAGCTCCATAGCTGTTTCTAATGCTCAAGTCGCTTGTGGAGAGAAACTGGTCTCTGCCTCCCTCACCACCTACACACACCGCTAGGAGCAGTGCCCAAGGTCCTCTGAACTAGCCTGTTCCTGCGTTGCGGCCTTCTGTCAGTGCTGTGCGGGTGACCTTGCGCGTGACTCTCTGCTGTTGCACTTGACAATCTGCACTGTGTCTTCTAACGTGTGATCCTCTGTGCTGCTGCTGGTGTGGACTGGACTGTATGTGTGCGTGGTGGGTGCACTATTGTGGCCCATGACTTCCTCTAGTTCAAGGACTCGCTCCCCTTGGATTTGAGACCCTTCACGGGGAACATGGAGTATCACTTCTCTCTCCCTGAGACAAGAAATGAGAGTCTGTCATTGAGGGTGAGGTGGGTATATTGGTCATACTGCATCATCCCTACCCCACCCCCATGGTAACACCTGGTGGACAGCTCGCTAGCCCTTTCCCCTCTGTTGTCTCTTTGACTGTTGTGTCGACCGTGTATGGAAGATGGGGAAGAGCCTTGCCCTCTTCAGTCATTGAGGCATGGGAATGGGAGGTGCCTGAGTGTCAGGGCCCAGGGGAGAGAGTGAGGGCAGAGCTGGGCACCGCTTCTCTGCTGGCACCTCCTCCAGTAGCAGTGACAGGAGTTAAGAGTGTCCTCAGCCACAGTGTCTGTGGCTGGGTGAGCTTGTCATGACGTGGGGTGTCAGGTTGGGAGACAGGATGTTCCAGTGCCAACCCTTTGAGCTGTGGGTAACATCCTGAGTCCTTACTAGATACTGGGCAGCCTTGGTGCTGGGATCACAGGCATCCTCATTCTGACCACCTCTTTGACCATGGACCAGCCATCTCACCTTTACAAGCCCCAGGGTGTTTACCTGAAAAACAGGATGGCAACTATGTCACAGGACCCAGTGGGACCCTTCTGCATAGCCGCATTGCAGTCAGTGCCCAGCACCTGTCATTCCTAACTTGGATGAGTTGAATGAGGCCCTTGCCCCTGTGCGGCCTTTGACATCCCAGAGGGTTGGGCAGCTGAGGGGAGGAGGGAGGAGGTTATTTTTTGTCCTTGGTGAGGTTGGGGGGAAGAAGCAAGACCATTCCCACCCTCTTCTCTGCCCTGCCTTCCCACCCCCCACCTCCAACAGAGCTTTGTCTTCCACAAACACAAAACCTGGAAGTGGTGGCGGAAGATGGAACCTCCTAGAGACCATTGTTTGGGAGGAATGGGTGTCCGGGAAGCATACTGGCTTGGGGGGACCACAGCTGCTGACTGCTTGCTGGGCATCTGTCCTGTCTGAGGATGGCTGTCATGGCGGGTGGGGGAATAGGAAGCAGAAAAGGTGACTTGTTTGTCCTGCAAATCTTCTGAATACTTACTGTCTACGGGACTAGGCAAGGGGATCCAGTGGGCTTCAGGCAGGCCCCGCCCTCCAGGGTATAGTCCAGCACCATGGGCCCCATTTTTAGCCTGGTCACTGGCCACCCTGTCTGAACAGTTAAGCTCAGCTTGAACCAGCCGGTATTGACCCTGGCTGCAGGACAGGCCCCAGACCAGGTTGTTCTTTGTCCTATTATCTTCCTCATCCTTAGCCACCCTGAGTGATAAGGGTTGTCATGCCATTGTCCAGTGGAGGAAGCCGTGTCCACACACTGATTGGTCAGGATTTCAGATGCCTGCCCCTGTGGGGTGGTGGGCTTTGGCAGCAAAGATAAGGCCTAGCAGGGCCCTACCCACGCCTCATGCCCCCTTCCCTCTGCCTCCCTCCACTGCCCCTTGTGAACACCTGTTCCGGAAAACCCTGACTGACCATTGTTTGAGCCATCCTCCCTCCCCTCAGGCCTTTCCTGTTTGTATCCCTCCAACTGTGGCCCCTCACCCCCACCCATGCCAGGTGCTTCCCTTGGGGAACTCTGGCCTTGTGCAGGAAGAGGTGTTAATTTGGGTTTTCCAAGGAAAGAGGAATAGAGATTCTGAGGTCATTGACCCTGATTCTTTGTACCCTCTATCCAAACCTCAAATTAGGTGAGAAAGGCCCTCCCTGGTGGTGCAGCAGGATAAAGCACAGCACTATGAAGCTATCTGAAGCCACTGCAGTAAGATTTCGATCCAGGGAGCTGACCCACATGGCGCAGTAGACCTCTCCTGTCTCGCCCACTGTTCCCCTCAGCAGTGTATTTCAGTCTGTCCACCTGTTCTGTTCCCCACTCTGTCTCTGGTGAATCCTCTCACCCCTGCACCTCAGGCCTGTACCCCAGTTCTTGTATGCATAAATAAATAATCTTTAAAAAATATTAGGTGGGGAATCTGGCAGGAAAGTGAGCAAAGTCAGAATTGGACAGAGCCTGAGACTGCAACTGGTCCAGTCCTGCCTGGGAGAGACCCTTCTGCTTCATGGCCTGTCTGCAGCCCTGCTCCCCTGTATGCCCCAATCACATACCACCCACTAGCTGGATCCCGGGCACCAGATAGGGGGGCTTTGGGGCTGTACCACTTTGTCTTGCCAACCTAGGAATCCTGTCGCAGATCCTCTCTTGGACCCACATCTGGGTCCAAGGACCAAGGCTCTCTTAGTCCTGGATGGGTGAGGAGTGAACACAGAGCAAGCACTTGCTTTAGAGCTTTAGAGGAGCTGGGCCACAGGTGCCCGGCTGCCCCTGATGGACCCTCCTGATTCCCAGAAGCAGCTGCCTGTGCCCTGTTGAAACTTCATGGCCACAGCCCCAGCCCCTGCAGGCATTGCCATGGGCAGCGTGGGCAGCCTATTGGAACGGCAGGACTTCTCTCCTGAAGAGCTTCGGGCTGCACTCGCAGGGTCCCGGGGCTCCCGCCAGCCTGATGGGCTCCTCCGGAAGGGCTTGGGCCAGCGCGAACTCTTCAGCTACCTGCATCTGCCCAAGAAGGACGGCAAGACCTCCAAGCGGGCCCCTCGGAATGAGCCTGCTGACTATGCCACCCTTTACTACCGGGAACATCCTCGGGCTGGTGACTTCAGTAAGACATCTCTGCCAGAAAGGGGTCGATTCGACAAGGTACACCTCAGCCTGAGTGGCAGTGAGGAGGTGGGGGTTGGGCAGCTTGGGTCTCCTTGAAAACCCTGAGGCTGGAATGGGGGGGTTGGGCAGCTTGGGTCTCCTTGAAAACCCTGAGACTGGAATGTGTCTGGGAAGTGGAAATCCTGCTGTGGGCCGTGTCATTGCCCCATGTTCCCAAAGAGGCTCCGCAGGGCTGTGGGGCCCTGGGAGCTCACACCTTCTTATCTTCCTCGCAGTGCCGCATTCGCCCATCGGTGTTCAAGCCTGTGTCAGGCAACGGGAAAGGCTTCCTGTCTGTGCAGAGCCTGGCAGCCCACAAGGGCCAGAAGCTGTGGCGCAGTAACGGCAGTCTGCACACGCTGGCCTGCCACCCGCCCCTGAGCCCTGGGCCCCGGGCCAGCCAGGCTCAGGCCCGGGCCCAACTGTTGCACGCCCTCAGCCTGGATGAGGGTGGCCCTGAGCCGGAGCCCAGCCTCTCTGACTCCTCCAGTGGGGGCAGCTTTGGCCGCAGTCCCAGCACCGGCCCCGGTCCGTTCAGCTCCTCCTTGGGCCACATCAACCATCTTGGGGGTTCCCTGGACCGGGCTTCGCGGAGCCCCAAGGAGGCTGGGCCCCTGGCTGTGCTGAGCTGCCTTCCGGAGCCCCCACCCCCCTACGAGTTCTCCTGCCCCACAGCCGAGGAGGTGGTAGCGGTGCTGCCCGAGACCTGTGAGGAGCTCAAGCGGGGTCTCGGGGATGAGGATGGCTCTAATCCGTTCACACAGGTGAGGAGCTCTTGCCCGGGGTTCTGGTCTTTTCCTTGCATTGAAGTGTAGACAGATAGGTTTCTCCGCCAGCTCACCCATCCGATTCTGGGCACAGAGCAAGGAACAAGGAGATGACTTGGCACTTAACCTCCACCCCACATGGCAGAGATGTCATGTCACTGGTGGTCCTTGCTAGGACATGGTGGGACAAAGGGAGACTCCCCTGAGAGAGCCATGTTGGGGGCACACTTCACTTCTGGAGGCAATCCCTCGTTAGGAGGGTGCCTGTGTGACTGGGCAGCGGGTCCCAGGGCCCTTTGGTGCTTCCATACAGAACATCGCTGTGGGTAGAGTGTGAGCGAGGCGTTCTGACTAAGATGTGCTGGCTCTATGAAGCGGGTCATTCCTGTGACAGGTGCTAGAGGAGCGCCAGCGGTTATGGCTGTCTGAGCTGAAGCGCCTCTATGTGGAGCGGCTGCACGAGGTGGCCCAGAAGGCGGAGCGCAGTGAACGCAACCTCCAGCTACAGCTGTTCATGGCCCAGCAGGAGCAGCGACGGCTGCGCAAGGAGCTGCGAGCACAGCAGGGCCTGGCTCCTGAGACGCGGCCCCCAGGTACCCTCCCAGAGGCTGACGCCAGCGCTCGACCAGAGGAGGAAGCCCGGTGGGAGGTGAGAAACCAGACATTCAGAAACTCTTCCATCCCTGTAACCTCAGTTCTGTCCCCTGCCTGCCCCACTGAGCCCCCCTCACCCTGTTTCGCTTGGCTCTCGCCCACGCTGTGCCCCTTCCAGGTGTGCCAGAAGACAGCGGAGATTAGCCTGCTGAAGCAACAGCTGCGGGAGGCCCAGGCCGAGCTGGCACAGAAGCTGGCTGAAATTTTCAGCCTGAAGACACAACTTCGGACCAGCCGGGCACAAGCTCAGGCTCAGGATGCGGAGCTGGTCCGGCTGCGCGACGCTGTGCGAAGCCTGCAAGAGCAGGCCCCTCGGGAGGAAGCCCCAGGTAGCTGTGAGACTGATGACTGCAAGAGCCGGGGACTGTTGGGGGAGGCTGGCGGCAGCGAGGCCGCAGAAGGCTCTGAGCAGCTGCGAGCAGAGCTGCTGCAGGAGCGGCTCCGGGGGCAGGAGCGGGCGCTGCGCTTCGAACAGGAGCGGCGGACGTGGCAGGAGGAGAAGGAGCGGGTGCTGCGCTACCAGCGGGAGATCCAGGGGAGCTACATGGACATGTATCGCCGCAACCAGGCGCTGGAGCAAGAGCTGCGGGCACTGAGGGAGCCCCCCACACCTTGGAGTCCTCGACTTGAGTCCTCTAAGATCTGAGGCCAGCGGAGCAAGCTGCTAGCAGAAGCACTGTCAGAAGATGGCGTGGACAAGCCCGCTCCGAGTCGGTTGGCACCTTTCTTAGTTGGCCAAGGGGCAGGATCTGTGAGGCCAGCCAGGGATGGGGAAGCCCGCCGGGAGGAGGGATCAGCGGGGCTGTGGGCTGGAAAGGGTGCCGGCAGCAGGAGCCAGGGCAAGGCCCTCCTGACAGAGGAGCACCTAGGCAGGGCCCCGCCCTGCTCCCTGGAGTAGGTGTGGCCCAAGGAAAGCGGCTGGGGAATGAAGAACCCTGAGATGCAGAGGCAGAAGTGAGGGAGGCTGGGATGGGAACATTGGCCTCCCTGGAATAAAACCATGTTTTGTATGAGGAGGGCCCTGGTAATCCATTGGACTCGTTCCCACTTGAGTCTGAAGATACTGACTGCTAGAGATCAAGGGCTACCTGGGCTGGAGCTCTTCATGGCCACCAGCGGCAGCAGGGCGTGCCCATTGCCCGTGTGTGCAGCTGCTGGGCATGTGTGTTGGGGAGGAATCCTTGCACCAGCATCACAGTTTTGTAGCTGCCGTGTGGGCTGAAATTCCTTTCTTGAGCATCAGTGGGATTTTTCAGAAGGAACAATGCCAGGGAACCTAGAATAACAAAAGGGCAAGTCAACCAAGGCCTTGCTAGAACATGAAGCAGTGTCTTGGTGGGAAGTCTAGGCTCCGGCTGCCCAGGCCCCTGCTGCATTTGGTGTTGGCCTAAGACAGCCTCTGCTGGAGTACGCACAGCTTCAGGAGGGTCTGCTTCTCTCTGGATGTGCCTCCCATCCTTCTGTCTGCGGTGCACCCCTCCCTCCACAGCCATGGGGGAGCTGTGGGAAGGCACCGGAGACAAGGCAGAGAAAGCTTGTGGGACACTTTATACCCCAGCGAGGACTGGAACATGGCCCAGAAGGCATGGAGGGCCATGTATTTATATTCTGGAAAGCTCTGTTCCAGGAGGAAGCAGCCCCCATTAGCTGAAAATCAGTGTCCTTCCAGGCGCATTGTTTTAATTGCCACTGAACGAGGAGGGAGTGGAGGGAGGGCCCACCCTCAGGGCTTGGGCACAGGTTGAGCTTCTGTGCTTCCTGTCCCAGATTAGCCAGCATGCAGATGTCTCCCCTCCCAGACTCTGCCCTGCTGAGTCAGTGGCTTATTCCTAGTTCTTTGCAAAGACCCCCAAATTGCTCATTTAGGAGGTGCTCCCTTCTCCTCTGGTCATACCTGGAAGCTCCCACAGGCCCCAGCAGGCAGGTTCCAGTGTCCTGTGGGAGTACAGGTCTACCAAAGAGGATGGGGGCCATGGGATGTGAGTTGGGGTGCCCTGCCTTTTTAGGGTGTGTGAGCTCTTGGCTCTGAGGATGTTGTGTTTATGGCCTTGTGAGTGGCAGGTGTGTAGAGATGTGCTGTGGGGTGGTGGGTGTGTCCAGGGGGGTGTGTTTAGGACTCCTGATTTGGAGCCCGGAGGATTGCTTCTTGGCCCCTCCCTCTGCCTGTTCCTTCCTGCCAACCCCAATCTCTTTCCCTGTGTCCAAATTTAGGCCAGAACGGACCCCTGAGCCTAACTGAGACCCATCTAGGCCCACCCTGAGCTCAGGTGCTCTGCCTGGGGTCAGAAATGGGTAGCCCATTTCTTAGACCAAAGTCTGAGCCAGTGGCCCTTCCACAACCCGCCAACCAAAGCCAGTGCACTCCCCAAGTCCTGGTGCTGGTCAGGCCAGGTGTCCCACAGTGACCAGGGTCCCCCTTTTGGTGCACCAGCCCTGCAGAACAGCTCTCCACCCAGCAATTAGGGAGCTGGGCTGGCCAGTACAGCGAGCGGGGAGTGGGTGGGCGGTACCAAAACTTGGCAGCTGTGCCAGAAACCAAGGCCAGGCCCAGATGCAGGGGGAGGGCACCATAGAACTAAAGCTGGGAGTCTCAGAGGGAACCGGATCCTTGTTAGTTCATCCCTCCTGGGCAAACCAGTTCCTGGTCCCCAAGCCGGCTGGGTGGCTCTGGGACCAGCCGCTTGCAGGTGCCACTGTGTGGCTACTGCTTCAGGGCAGCCACTCCTTCCTGCTGCTGTTGGGCCCCTCAGTTTCCCAGCTACCCTCAGGCTCCTCCCCCAGCAGACTGGTACAGACAGCCAGTTTTCTCCAGAACTAAGGGAGGATGCCCACTGCCCTACCCCCACCTCCATACACACAGGGCTTCCTGCCCAGGTCCTTCCTGTTCTGAGTTAGTGTCGCACTTAATGGTGCCCACTGACCCTTTGCAGCTCTCTGGACCCAGATCCTGTGTGTGTGCTCACCGGCTCCTTGCCTGCTACTGTAATTGTGGGCTCTGGCATTGCCTCGCCAGGTCCATATCTTCTATTTTCATCACAAGAGCCCTGTCTGGCTGTAGGCCAGAAACACTGCAGGGCTAGGCTGGGGCTGGGGGTGGGGTAGGGCCAGCAGGCAAGATGCCAACTCTGAGTGTTCATCACTCCTGGCACCTGGCCTGCTAAGCCTCAGGATTCTAGAACCCCTGCCATTCACTACTGGGCCGTGTATTGCTGCCTTCCTCAGGGCCAAGTATGGTTTCAGGTGAGGAAGCTTAGGCGATTAAGCCCCCTACCCTGGTGGCTCTTCCTAGAGGGTAGGGGAGAGAAACATGGTAGTGACCAGGCCAGAAGCATACAACCCACATGGGGACAATGGCAAGCCCTCCATAGTGTTAGCAGAACAAGACAGTCAGGGAGCCTGTCTGGGGGCATGAATAAATCTCTTGAGACTGAGGATGCAAATATTAGGGAAGTCTTCTTCCAAGAGGGCACAGGCCCCCATTCACAGTACTGACTATCTAGTGCACAATCCTAGGAGAGGGCCTTCACTCTGTCTTTTGGATTTAGAAGAGAAAAAAGAATGTGCTGTTTGTTGCAACAAAAACAAGAGAGATGGCACAAGAGAGCGGAGGCATGAATGTGTGGGGGTTCAGAGGAGAGCTGGCTCCCATATTGCTCCAGGTGCAGGAGGTGGGTAGGATAGCAAAGGTTGACCAAACTTGGTTAGGCACTTTTTGACTAGGCCTGGATTTATTCTGTGTACTCCTTTATTTAGTCCAGCAAGAATCCCCAGCCTCCAAATCTGATCACCTTCCACATCTGATCAGGTTCCTCACCAGCACCCCTGTAGATGCGCAGTTATTCTGACCTGTCTTCAGTGAGACTGGTCAGAATCCCTGACTCCTGACTTCCTCTCAGTCATTGTTTCCTGGCCTGACACTACCATCACCACCCCGGCTTGGCTTTATAAATTCTACTTTTTGTATTTGGAGTTGAGCTCACATTCTTCTACACTGGAAACCCATTGTGGTAGCCTCTCTTAAATAAAGTCTTCCATACCCCTCTAACAATGGTCGTGAATAATTTACTTTAATGGGGTAAGCTCTAGAGAGTGGATTTCTTCAGTAGCAACATGGGATGAAGCCCTGAACTTAGACACAGGGAAGTTTGGGGCAAGTCTGAGGGAGAGTCCTATCTCATCCAGAAGAAAGGAGGTAAGGGAGTAAGGGTTGACCTGGGCAGCCTGGGAAGCTGGCACTGGAGGACTTTACTTAGTGAGGCTGTGTGTGGGTCTCAGGAAGCCCAGGAGAAAAGGCCAGAGCCTGGGCTTTTTTTTTTAAAGATTTATTTATTTATTTGTACAGAACTGGGGTACAGGCCAGAGACGCGGAGGGTGAGAGGATTCACCAGAGACAGAGTGGGGAGCAGAACAGGCAGATCGACGAAGTACACTGCTGAGGGGAACAGCAAGGGGTTCAGAAGAGGTCTGCTGCGCCATGGGGGTCAAGAGAGGTCTGCCTCGCCATGGGATCTCCTCCGGAGCAGGCAGGAATCAAACTCATGTGGAAGTGGCTTAAGCTTCTTAGTGCAGCGCTTTAACCCGCTGCGCCACCAGGGAGGGCCCGCCTGGGCTATCTTTATGTGTGGAACTACACCCTCAGAAAAGCCCTACACTTGGTGCAATGCTTTGCTGTTGCCATCTTGCATTTAATATTTAACAAGGGTTCACACATTTTCATTTTGCAATGGGGCCTGCAAATAATGTAGTGGCCGTTGGCCTGAACCAAAGCCTGGCAAGGAAGGAGGCTGGTTGGCAGCCTTCCGGAGGGTGGAGGGAAGAGAAGTCCATGTCCCCATGAGCTGAGCCCTAATACACCCAAGTTCCACAGAGGAGCAGGGGCTATCCCTTCCCCCATCCAGTAAGTGGCCATCTTTTCTTTTTCCAGCTGCCCTTCTAAGATGCTGGGAGGCTAAAGAGGCTGCATTTTCAGGAACACTCCAGGGCACTTCTTATTGTTTTGTTTTGTTTTTTAAAGGTTTATATAGTGTGCTTTTGGTGTACCTGTGACCACCATCCATTTAAGGTGTAAATTACATACAAAAAAATTCACCCTTTTTAGGGCACACTTTTTTAGAGCTTTGATAATTGCACTCAAGATCTAGAATATTTCCATCACCACCCCCCACTCCTCAGTAGTCAACCCCTGATTTGTTCAATAGCTGTTATTTCTTTTTTAGCCCGTGTGTGTTAGAGCATATTATAAAGCAGCAAGTAGCATTGGTGTAAAATAAAACTACATCTCAGTAGAAAGAAAGAAGAGCCATTTCACGCATCCCTTAAGTATGCGCTTAACAGTTAGGTTTTTCTGTTTTGAAGCAACTCCCTCGCCCCCCAAATAAAAACAAAACAAAAACTGCATCCCTAAGAATGATTGATAAAATGGACTCTAACAAAACAAGTACAATGCAAAGTAACATAACTGCAAGGCAAGAGGAGTACTCGTTGGGGGAAAAGTGACAAGAGAAATGACAAAGATGAGTCTGTGAGCCGCAGTTTCAAAATTCTAGAAGCCAGGCTTTACTCATACCCGGCTTGACTGTGGCAAAGCCTGAGCTCCCCTAGAGGAAGTGGGGGTGCCTGGGGTATTAGCGAAAATCCTGTGAGGTCGTGTTGGCTCAGAGGCTGAAGGCCTCAGCCTGATGCCAGTCGCCCCAGCTCCCCCCCAACCCTCACCCTGACCTCCACAAAGCTCACTCAACTCAGCACCCACGTGGATCAGGACCACCCAGGCTCCCAGGGCACAGCAGGGATGAAGTTCTGTTGCCCGCAGGGGCTTCCCCAGCAGCTCAGCATCGCCCCCTTTCTCGACTGGTTTCCTAAGCTTTTGGAATCGTGGTTTCCTGATTCATAGGTGGAGGATGTAGCCTACCGCAGAGTATTTCTGAGAACCCACTGTGTCCCAAGCACATGGTGTTGGAGTTACTGCAGTGATGAGTACAAAGTCCTGGGCTCGCTGTAGCTTTTATCCTTAAAAGAAAAGAAAAAAAAGAAAGAAAGAAAGGGGGCCCTCCCTGGTGGTGCAACAGGTTAACAGGTTAAAGCACAACACTGCGATGCTATCCACAGCCACCGCAGCACTAGTTCCTTCCCCAGACATGGAACTGACCCATAAGGCACAGCAGACTTCTAACCCACACCTGCTCCCTCAGCAGTGTATTTCAGTGACTTGCCTGTTCTGCTCCCCACTTTGTCTCTGGTGAATCCTTTCACCCCAGTACGATGGCCTTCACCCCAGCTCTGTATGCATAAATAAATATTTTCTAAAAAAAAAGGGGGGGGTGGCTAAGAAGACATAATAAACATAAGATAATTTCAAGGCATATGCTTTGAGAAAAACAAAGTTGGATTGTGCAAGTAACTCTATCCAGAAAACAAAGCAAGATTGTGCAAGTTTTTTGGGTGTGTGTGTGTGTGTGTGTGTGTGTGTGCAGAGAGAGTTGTAGCAGCAGAGGACACCTGGAGTGTAACCTCCAAGAAAGGAACTGGAAGTCTGGCAAACTGACTCAACCTTTGCTCTGGGGCTGTTTCTTAGCCTTAATCACTGAGGCCTATAAATGGATTTGGGGCCTTTGTCTAGGCAGGGGGTGGGAGGAACCTGGGCTGATCGGCTGATCTTGAATTCTGAATTCCGTCTCCGCCTGTGTTTGGGTCACTGCCTCCCGTCTTCCTAGCTATTACTGCCTTAATGCAACCCCATCTCTCTTCCATCTTCCACACCCCCATGCCCTCTATGTTCTTTTTCCCAACTCCTGCCAAAGATAATCTTATTTTGTTTAATGTGCCTGGTGGTGATGGAGGAAAAGAATAGAAAACCTGAAAGAGACATCACAAGTTAAAACATGACTGATGGAAGGTGAGGGCAAAAGGAACTAATATTACCATTAACCCAGTCGAAGAGACTCCTGTATCAGACTGCTGTAGGGAATATTGGAAGCACAGACCTGAGGGTAAGACCTGAGGGCCCATTGTGAGATTCCACATAGTTATCCAAAATCAGCAGCAAACAGGCACTCCACAAGGAGTGAGCCCCTCCCAAAGGGAAAAGGACTGTATCAGGGCAGTCTCTCCACTGGCTCAGGGCACCGGTCCTGCCCACCTGTGCCAGTGCAGGTGCTTCTTTCCCCCCACTCTCTCCCTCTGCAGGGCAGCAGCCTCCTGCCTGTCCATGACCTGTACCATCCCCGGGCTTCTCTGCACTGACCTCTCTCAGTAGAGGCCGCTCTCCTAAGGCCGCCTGCCTACAACCACGCAGGCCTCTCAGCAAACCTGTCCCTTTGGGGCAGTTCTTTCTGCCCACTTGTGCCTATGCCAGTGTCATTCACTCCACTGTCCTTTTTCCTAATAAACCTGCTCTCTAAATATAACTGAGTCTCTGTATCTGGGAAAACTTGCCTGGGAACTCGCGTGTGCTGTGCCGCTGACAGGGGAGCTCTGGTGAAACCTCTCCCAGAGTGGACCGGAGGACACCGAACTCCAAAAAACAGACATCGGTGGGACCAGCGACGCTGGTGTAGGTAAACAGACATTTACTTTTAAACATCTGATGTGTCACGGAGGCATCACGGAGCCCTGACAAGGACTGTGCTGTGTGGGTACAGCCTTTCTTTAAAATGAAGGGTGGAGGCGGAGCGTCGGGCGGCACAGTCAGGCTTAGGGCTCCTGATCGCCGCACCTCAGCGCTGCCGAGAGGCAGGTCAGGCATCCTTGAGCCAGGATGGACCACCTAGTGGGCCGGTCCGCCGGCTCCTCGCCGATGGGGAGTCAGGAAAGCAGCCGCCAGCCCGGGAGGGCGGGCGGCGAGGCCGTTCCCGCGTCTGCGGGCGATTCCACTCTCGGCGCGAGAGAGGGGAGGCCCAGGTTGAGGCGAAGGTTCCTCCCCTCCGAGAGACCGCCAATGGGTGAGTCCGGAGCTGCGGGGCAACGGTCGCTCCTTCCGGTTCCGATGACAGCGGCCCGGAAGTTAGGGCTGGGGCGGCTGGTCCCGGCTGGAGCCGGAGGCCTCCTGGGCCAGGGCGGGGCTCGGTGGGCGACAGTTCGCCGTCTTCTCAGGAGCCCCCCGAGTGAGTCCCCGCACCAGTCGTCCCTTAGGCTTGTTTTCTCCTCAAGTCGTCGCCGCCGGGGACTGGAGTTGAAGTCTCACAGTCGCACAAGACCCTGCAGGAGCCGCCTCTACCAGGGAGTCGCTCAAACTCGTGCGGCCCTTCCTTGCGCGACCGGCCGGGTCGGAGGTCAGCTGCGGGAGACGCGGGGGCGCGGCCGCCTCGTTTGGAGCCGGGACTTTTAGAGAACCCATAGGAGTTTGCCAGACATTTGCAGGTGAAGTTCCCAGTAGGGGCTGTTGGCCAGGGAGAAATGATGGTTAATGACAAAAGACTGGAAACTTCACATAAATCTGTGCAGTGAAGTGTGATGGAATAACTGGTGTGGGGCTGGGGCGGAGGGAACCGTAGTAAATACTGTGATATAGAAGAGTTGCTTTGAAGACATGACATTTGTACTGGACCCTAATAAAGGGCTAGCCTTGGGGAGATCTGGGAGAAGTGTTCCAGACACTCCTTGGTGGAGCAGAAGGTTAAGTCTCAGCACCACAAAGCTCCCTGCATGCGAGGTAGATCCCAGCTTCCCCAGCCCCCTACCCCCACCACTTCCCTGGCCAGGGAGGAGTAGCAGACTTCTGTCTGACAGCTGCTCCCCTCAGCAGTGTATTTCAGTCAATCCACCTGTTCTGCTCCCCACTGAGTCTCTGGTGAATCCTCTCACTGTCCACACCTCTGGCATACACTCCAGCTCTTGTATGCATAAATAAAATAAATCTTTAAAAAAAAATAGGAAAAAAAGGGTTCCAGACAGAGGGAACATCTATTGCAGAGGTTCTGAGGTAAAAATAAACTGGAGCAGAAAGTAGACTTAATGTGGTAGGAGAAGTACTTGGAGAGGTGGTGGGGCGTTGATTCTCATAGTGCCTGGGAGCCCATTGAAAAAAAGGGTGGATTTTGTTTT